TTTGTAATTTTAGAACTAAAATTCCATTCTAGCCACTTAAAAAGGCATTTACCCGGTTAAATATCTCACATCCAATGTTGGAACCGGATCAAATGCAGCAATATTCATATAACATACTGTCTTACATTGCAAAAGTGAAACATATGGCTCGTGAAGAGTTCGAATCATTGTGTAATACTGTAGCAGCATCGTTACAAATCTCTGCGCCACCTATATCTTTGGTTTGTTTTATGCTTAAATAATACTGTAGAAAGCCAGTTGTTCTATCAAATTGATCAAAAGCCTATAGCAATGTTTATGGTATTTTTAGATTGGTGTTCAGAAGCGTCCTCGTCTCCGTGATAGTCGGTGCATGAAAAGAATCTCTGCTTATAATAATGTGGACAGTTTTAATGGGTTCCAGGTCTTTTTTTGTTGTTTGAAATTATCTTTACGTAGGAATAAATTTTTCTGTTGATTTCTAATGCATTATTTCTCCGCATATTTGAATTACTGTTTAGAATTTATAATTCTGTACCTGTAGTATATATCCGAAGATGTATGCTATAGATACAAAAGCTGTATACTGCAGCTCCCCTTTTAGCTTGTTTTAGCTTGTATCACGGCACTGAAATCAGGGCTATGATAAAGCATAAACGAGTATAAGTCGAGCATACGGCTTAAATTGCAGGTACAAGTTGATATCCCTAAAATACTAATTGCTCCATCACTACAATTCCGAAATCCATTTGAAATTAGACGAAGTAGGCTCTTCGAGCAACTGCAGAAAATGCGAATCAATTTGCTGCAACAGCTCAACATAGGACAAATACCGGTATTTGAGGGTGGTCGGCCGGGTACCAGTATCAAATTACAACATGCGGGTTTGTTTTACTGTTTCTAGTATCTCTTATTTTTTAAGTTGAATTGTTCTATTCATTTTTGTTTGCAGAGGATTTGCATAATCTTCCCATTAGTCAGATGGGAAATTATCAAGAATATATCAAGAGCCTTGAGGCTGTCGGACGTGGTCCACTTAGAGAAGTTGAGCCTCAAGCAATCCGTGTACATGCATTTGGGAACCCATTTAAAATCGATAAGGTGCGTAATTTGGTAACATTTTCAAGGAAAAAGCTGTAAAATTCGGATAAACTTTATACATTTCGAAACTGAATTATATGTATTTGCAACTCTTATTGGATTGGGTTCTTCATATATTACAGAAAACTATGACAGTGGATGAAGTGGGTGAGGGAAACTTGCTGGGAACTTCTCCGAAAGTCGAAACTTCAAAAAAGCGGTTGTCTTCTACTGGTTCAACTGCTTCTAGCACAGATAGCAGTCGCCCACCACGACGAAAGGCGGGGCCTTTAGCAGCTGATTCCTTGTCTCAGTGGCGGTAAATGCTTGATCATATTTTTCAAACTTTCTGTATGTTTTAATTTCTACAAAATGTTATGAAATTTTCTAAATTGTATTTTCTGTTTATGGATTCTTATGGTTTTATCTTTTTCTCTAAGATGACGTAGAAATGCGACATTATTTTTCCAGTTGTAGGCGGCGGCGACGACGCAGTACATGCTCATATTCATCGGTTGCTTCTTCTTTATCCGATCTCGAATTAGCTTCTCATAGTTCCGATCTCTCTTTTGAAGATACTCGTGAGTTTGCTACAACATTTTTATCATTTCTTCTTGCAGTGGCATGATCTCTAGATTTATAATACGGTATTTGTTTCTTTTTAGCTTTCTATTTTTCATTGTCACGTGAAATGTCTATTAGTATTTTGCGAAATTTCGTCGCAGAAACTTGAATTGGAAGATTGAGTTGAATTAAAAAGTAATTGGAGGAATTTGTTCTCATTCCAGAATTTGATAAAACTGTAGATTTATGATTATTCCTGATTAGGGTTTATTTACCTAAACAGTATCGTACTTTCAGAAGCACTTACTGGCTCAGGTTGCGAACCGTCCACGTCAGGTTTAAACGGTAATGTTGAACGTAGATTGAATGGTGATGTACATGAAAAATCGCCGAAAAGGATGTCATCAGCATGGTCTGAATTTTCACCAGTGCAGAAAAAATCACGCTTAGAAAGTGCATCACGCTTAGAAGAATCGGCATTGAAAGAGAAGAAATTACTTTTGGGCAAATTTGTAAGGAAGCTCGTAGACGGTAATTTTCCTTTTTATTTGCATAATTTTAAAATTTGATTAGTCTTTATAAATAGGATTTCTTCAGCGGATAAATTTTTCTGTTAACAGTACAAGTTTGAAAGATAATTTTATGGTACATATACATAGTTAAGCGTAAATATCTTGGAAGAAATGTACGTTCGTTTGATTTACTGATTCGTGAAAAGCAAATATTTCAGCTGAAAAAGTGATGTTGATGCAAAATATGGAAATAAAAGATCTTTGTATCGTAGATCGTAGGATATGTTTACGTTATGCATTACGAGAAGCAAAACGATTTCGGAGGAAAGCACTGATAGATCTTATAATCAAGCAGTTGAATCAGATATTGCCGAATGCTTCGATCAGTGAAGACCTGTAGCTTATCGTCATGACGCATTACTGACTTGAGATCTATGTTGATTTAGTTTATTTGGAGATGACCTTAAATGTGTAGGAAAACTAGTTTTTTTAATTATGGATTCTGTAAGATCAGATTATTTACAATCAAAGCTTCATTCTCAGTCTCTTTATAAAATGGAGAAACATTAACAAGGATTCCTTTCATGAATATTGTCAACATTAATGTAATGTTCCTTATTCTACTCATTGGTGTTTATTTTCCATCGATCTCATTGGTTCACTTATTTGAGTTTCGAATTTATATGTACGTTGTTGTCACGGATATATTTTTTTGCTCACTCAGGCTGGTGCTTTTTCATTCTATCTTTTGTCCAGTGTACCAAATCTGCCGTATTTAGAGGTGTATCACTTGTATAAGGAATTTACAAATCATTTTTCATGCATGAAAAGAACTAATTATGAGCGGGAACTATGGAATTTTTCTTATTTCCTCTTTTGTCTTTACCCTTACCAACCTATTTACTTCTATTTGGGTTGTGAGAAAATGGAAAACAATTGAGATTGAATTCTGCTTGGAATTTTAGTTTCCAATCATTCTAAACTCTAACTTTTCACGAGATGAGAAATTTGTAGAATTTTTTTGGGAAATGTCAATCTCTTGAATGTATATGTAAGATTTCATTTCTAGGAAATGAATTACCGGTGATAAAACATTTTTTTGTTATTGGTTCTAAATACGGCACGGATAAATAAAGCATTTATTCAATTGTGTATGTTCATAGAATAAAGAGTAAATTAATGTATCGCGATAAAAGGATGTATATCGCAGAATAGAACATTACAAACAGTAATTTCAAATTGATTTGCTGTTTCGTATGGTTTGAGGAGTGTATTTTGAGCTAATACAGTTCATTGGGGGTCTCTCCATCAAATCGTACTAGGCTACAGCAACACGACTGGTCGAAATGTAGTATGTTCCCTGCTTACCAAAACAATTTGTACATAAATGGAGAAGAGTTATCTGATGTTACAGGGACAGTGAACCATCTACATATTTGGACCTCCGAATATTGGGGACAAATTTCGAAATCGAAATCGACAAATGTGAAAAAGGGTGTTAATTTATTCATAAAATTCAGGATATCAAGCGAAAACAAAGTGGCACAGTGGACAATCGACGTATTTTCATCATTTCAAATAATTACTGGGCGGTGTTAAACAACACATCGCTTGAAAAATATAAGGATCAGCTACTATGCCATCAAAAAGAACAAGAATGGATGTCAAATTTTCAATGAAAAACTCAGTCATTGATGAAGTGTTTTTGATAATCGTTCAAAAATTTTTCGCTCCTTTTATGATCCATAAATAGGGAATAAGCTCGCTTAAGATCCATCGGTGATACCTGGAAATAATTTTTTTTCTTCAGAAGCAGATTATTTGCTTACTTATACTGTGCATGTTCTACACATTAAACGTGATATGCTTAATATATGTTACATGCCCAATTCTCGGACTATTCTCAACTAATCTGCTACTTCCATTCTTGTTGGACTATGTAGATTCAGTTTGAAATATTAAAAAGTTATATAACTGTGGTACCTTTTCACCACGTCTTCGTTCACGTAAAATATTTCCAGTTGAAATTAATTGCATGGCATATCGTAACGAGGTTTTACCAGCTAGCAAAGTCAATATGCCAAACGCATCTGCTTCCATTTCCACAGACTCTTCTTGTGCACGAATCCGTAAAATATCTTCAATATCTTTGCTCGAATACGGTTTTGTTCGGATTATTAATGATCTAAAAGTAGAACGAAAAGTCTAATACCTGCGTCATCACTTTGCTCCCATCTAAAAGTATTACTAATCAGCTGAAGTTCAAAGGAAACCAACGAATAATGTCATAAATAATAATGCCATAAAGTGAATTGAAAACTACCTATCCAGAAGATCAATTGGAATTCCATGAGGACTTTTGATTTGCGTTCCACGGATATATTCTTGTCCTTTATTGGTAGCTATTACAAGAATAGGAGAAAGATCTGATTCAATCGCCCTGTTCAGGAATGAGAAACATTCCAAATCTAGCATATGTGCCTCATCAATAAACAGTACACCGGGAACAACATCTGCTTTATTTTCCTCTCGCCATTCAACTACCTGAAATGTAAACTGACCATAAAAGTTTATAAGTCACCAATAATAAATGCACGATCCCGTAACTTAGTTATGCATTAGCATTAACAACACTAACAACATACGGGAACCAATTGAAGGAGTTTTGAACATTAAAATGCTAAGATCTGTCAACAATGCTAGCTGATTTGGTAAGGTACGAATGATATAACCAAAAATTTATTTATCTCAAGATTCATTTTTCTACCTTCTTGTTAATTTGTTCCCTCACTTCGTTCTTTATTTCTCCAGTGTCCCCGGAAAACAAGGCTAAGAATCCTTGCGTTCGCGAATTTATTACATCAATTTCATGCAAAGCAATCTGAAAATAAAATTAACCCTCCTTTCACTCATTAAAATACTTATAATTACAGACAAAAAACGCAGTCGTGAATTTCTTTGAGTTGTGAGTTGATGTCGAGCAGTAGCCAATGTCACCAGTATTTTTATACGAGTTGGGTTGATTGGCTGTGTTTGTTGGGAGCGTTGGGTTGAATTCAGTAGAGTTGAATTGCGTTGAGATGAGTTGAGTTGTATTGGTTTGTATAGAGTGAACACCGGATAGTAAAGCGTTTACTGATCCCAGTCCCCAAAAAAAGGATAACTATCCGTTAATATCATGGGATTTATAAGTACTGGGAAGTGGGAGTGGTTTTCATTAAACAATTAAGCAGATGCATTTG